GAACATTTATGTACAAGTTTCAGTTTGGAAATACATTTTCTATTGGATATATACTTAGGAATGGCATTTATGGATCATATGGTAACTATGTTTAACATTTTAAGGAACTGTATCCAAGCAATTTTGCTAAGAAGTAGCACCACTATTTTGCAATCTACTAGACGGGTATGAGGGGTGGTTTTCGACTCCCTTGTCAACACTCATTATTGTCTGTTTTTTCTTTTTTTGCTTTTAACCACCCAAATGCATGTGAAATGGTATCATGTGGTTTTGACTTGCATTTTTGTAATGATTGGTAATGTGTAACACCTTTTAGTGTGCTTATTGGCCATTTGGAGGAATGTCTATTCAAATCCTCCCCCCCCCATTTTTAAATTGGGGTACTTGTCTTTTTATTGTTGAAGTTGTAAGTGTTCTTTGTATATTCTGGATGCAACATCCTTGTTAGGTTTATGATTTGCAAATACTTTCTCCCATTATGTGGCTGTCTTTTCACTTTGTTGATGCTATCCATTGGGACACAAGTTTTTAAAATTTGATGAAATCCAATTTACCTATTTTTTTCTTGAGTAACTTGTACTTTTGATATAATAAATACCTATGTCAGTTTTGTCTAACCCAAGATCATGAAGCTTCACTCTTCCTTTTTTCTCAAAGAGTTTGATAGCTTTAGCTCTTATATTTGGACCTGTGATCCTCTTTGAGTTCATTTTTGTGTGGTGTGAGGAAGGGGTCCAACTTTATTTTTTTGTATGCAGATAGCTAGTTGTCCCATTTTTGAAATTCACTGAGTTTTTATGAGTATCAAAAATTAATATATGTGAAGTACTTCGAATAGTACATGGAGATGCATAGCAGCACTGAGTAAATATTAGTTATTACTATTTTATCATTTATTGTACTGAATTGTCATTGTATGTGTATTTGTCTATCTCTCTCAAAAAACTATCTTAATTTTGTACCTATGTGCCTGTCCTAGTGCTGAACAGACAGTACATGCTAAATAGATTTTTTTTTTAAATGGATGAATTATAAGTAAGGCTTCTCTGATCAAGCAATTAGTGGGTAAAGCACAGGACAGATACCAGTTTCAATGCTAACGTTCTACTCTGCTAGACTTGAGTCCCTACCAAAAGGCCTCTCAGAGTTAGAACCTGTTAACAGTGGCTGCCGTTGGGCATTTCCCCAGAGAGCGCGGTATACAATCCCTGGTGCAGGCCACTTCAGAACATTTATCATTCTCATGTCTCTTTTGCCACCTGTTTCTTTTCTTCCCTTGTCTCTGAGCAGAAACTCATGGAATAGAATCCCTCCCTACTAGTAGTCTCTGCCAAATCTTCTTTGCTGCATCATTTGAGTTTTAGTCCCTAAAAGCCGAAGGAGCATGACTGATTTCAGACTCCATCTACATCTCCCCCTAAATGATCTCATCTAGTTTAATAGCTTTAAATACCATGTTGATGACTCCCAAACCTGTTACTCCAGCCTTAACTCTTCACTAAGATCCTGACTTAAATCTCCATGGTCTGCTTCATGTCTCATCTTAGATGCCTAATAGGCTTTGCAAATTTACCATAATCTAAATAGAGTTTCTCCCACAGACATTTCTCTCTTGGCCTTCCTCATTGAAGGAAACGGCTCCATAAAATTCTCCCAGTTTCTGGAGTAAAATATTTAGGATTCGTTTTTGATTTCTCTTTCTTTAACCTTTACATCCAGGCAATCTTTTTGAATCTGCCTTTGAAATATGCCAGCATCTTACCACTGCTCTCCATTCTCCAGTGGTTGCTCTTGAGAACAAGCAGCATCTTCCTGTACCTGGTTAATTGCAGTAGCTCCTGACTGCTCTTTCCCACCCTGGCCTCTCTCAGTTCCATTCTCTGCGCAATAACCCAAAGGATCTGTTTAAAAACAAAGCAGATCACGCCACTCCCTGTTTAAACCCTCTGATGGCTTTCCATTACATTAGGAAAATATTCATATTTCTTACCATGACCAACACCGCTGTCTCCATTTTGCCCTTTAAATAACACAACATTCAAGTTGAAATTTTAGTTAGGTGCAAACATTGAATGATTATGAGATTTCAGAGTGAGTTGCCAGTTCCTGATATGCAGATTTTCAAAGGAAATGGATATAAACCTCTTCCATACTCTTGCAATCCTTTGATAAAATAAGAGAATTGAGGCAGTAAAAGAGAGGATGTTTTGAGGAATAATTCTTTAGAAGAAGCTGGTTATGGGTCCTGTTTCATATTCTGCAGGAAGGACTAGGAATGCCTTCCCTCACCTTCAACCTGGTGGTGGTCCAGCACTTCCATGGGGCCTCTGACCAAGCTTACGTGTGATTTCTTCAGCTGGGAGGTGTAGTGGACTGGCTTCTGCCCGGGGGACTAGGCGATGAGAGACAGGCCAATTGATCAACGTGGGAGTGGAGCCGGCAGAATGGGCTGCATCAAGACTGTGGGAGCAGGGTGAGGGGCCAGCTGCAAGCCAAAGTGGGAGAGCAGGCGTGCGAGTGTCTTGACATCAGACTCACCGGGCTGCCTAGTCGAGCGTGGACCCTCCAGCAGCCACAGTTTGGAGGTGAATGCCTGGGGGCTAATGAAGGAATCTTGAGGGATCCCTCAAAATAAAGATACCTTCTGTCTGCCAAAGGAAAATTCAGGAGCATAGGCCAAGGAGGGACCTCCAGATCTGAAAGTTCCCCATAAGGAAGAGAGTCAGCATAAGTATCTGCCTGGCCTGGCAAGCACAAAGCCAGGTTACTTTGGTTCTGGTCTACATGGGGCCCTTTGGGCCCCTTTCCACCCTCCCTCTGTGCTGGCCCATCTGACAGGGGTTGAAGCTGCTGTTATCTAGTTCTGTAATAGTGATAGATTGGATGACAGTGCCTGATTTCGGGTTTGAGGTTGGTTTATAACTTTAAGTGATCTTGGGACATCTATTTGACATGAGTGAAAGGAAAAGTCACATGCTCTGTGGGAGTATTCACTGGCAGGAGAGGATTCCCTTACTAAATAAAATCAGAGGAAATGGTGGCAGCAAATGCATAAAATAAGGGCTTGATGATATTATGAATAGAGCCGGTTATACATGGAAAAGCTCTACTTGTTCAGGCTGCTCAGGCCATGCCGTCCCTCAGCCTACAAGTCTACAGGAGCCATTTTCCCCCTCCAGCAACCCTACTCTTCTGTTCTTCAGAGCACTGATTACTATGTGAAAGTGTCTTGTACCTGTGTTTGTTTATTAGCCGTTACCCTTCACTGGACTGCAGGTTCCATACAAGCAGAACTCCTACCTCTTTGGTTCACTGCTCTGTCCCCAGTGACTAGAGTAAGAACCCTGTGTATATAAGTGCTCAATAAGTACTTGTTGAATGAATCAATGGATGTGAAAACTGTATCAGGGCAGATATCTGAGAGTGAGAAAAATGATCTCTCTCTTTTTATTGTGAGTGATTTTTAGTATAATTATACATTCATACTGTGATAGTAACAGCTTTCACATTATTTGCATGACTAATTTTCTTTGACTTTTTCATGACGGAGTCACAATTTAAAAAGATACACAAAGTTTTAAAGCAAATGTGGAAGAAGGATGAATTTGATATATGACAGAAAACGTTTGAGTGTGGATTGACTTGATCTATTTTCATTTGAGAAAATATTTTTATTTTCAACATGGTTTCATAGGAATTTCTTAATTTAAAAAGCTCTGGGGTAGGGCTAGGATGTGAAGGGATTGAAGCAAGAGGAAAAAGGACTCATGGACATGAACAACAATGTGGTGATGGCGGAGGGGGGGAGGGATAAAGGAGATGAATGGTAATGGAAACAAATGCAATACAAAAAAAGAAAAAAATTTAAATTCTCATTTGAGGATATGTTTATTGCTTTTAGAGGGAGGGAGGGTTGGGGAGGAGAGAGAAACAGTGATCAGTTGCCTCCCACACGCGCCCCAACCGGGAATCAAACCCGCAACCTTTTGGTGTACAGGATGACGCTCCAACCAACGGAGCCTCCAGCCTGGATGGGATCTCTTTTTAATGTTGGTGTTGGAGGACAGGACCCACGCATGCCTTCTAAGCTACAGCATCTCCCACCTCTGGTACCCTCGCCCTTTTTCTGAGTGTCCATGGAGAGTATGACTTGCTTCTAGCCAATAGAATATGACAAAGGTGATAGGATGTCACACCTGTGATTATGTTATGACATTTAAGATCTCTAGAGACTCTCTTTGCTGGCTTGAATCACCACCTGGCAAAGACTTCAGGCAGCCACTAGGACCTGAGAGTGACCTTCAGGAGACACTCAGCAAGAAACAGATGCCCTCAGTCCCCTAACCATAGGGAAATGAATGATTTCACTGGTAAAACCAGTTTAAACCATGTTAGTCATTTACACCTCAGGGGCCAGGAAGGATTTAAGAAGAGGTTGGGTACCAGGGTGAACCAGGTGTCTGACCTTGAAGCGGGTGACAGCTCCTGGGAAAGGGCAGATGGGTGACAGAGAAATGTGGCCAGATGCAGCCTTCTTTAGCTTCGCTTGCCAAGGTCCTGGCCATGTGAGTGTCTCTCTGTACTTCTTGACTATACTTTTTCAATACTTAATATCTTGAGAATGATCTGGTGGGAAGGGGTGTGTTTCCAGGACCCAAGCATGGCATGAGAAGGATGAAACTCAAGTCACAGACTCCCTGAGAGGCCCTCTACGTCGAAGTTAACCATGGCACTGTGCAGGCAAAACCAGAGAAAGCAAATCAGGGGCAGTTGCTAGGTGGAGTGGTAACTGAACCCAGGGGAAATTTGCATCCTCACTGAACTGAGCTCACCTTTGCTCCACTGTCTGAGCATCTTCCTTCTAAGTGAGCTCTGGCTCAGATGCAGAGCCTGAGCATTCTTTTCACATCCTCAGGAGAAATCAATAGCGGGACTGTGAGTGGGGGTAGGGAGGAGGCCAGGGACCAAGGCCAGGGGTGGTGACCAGAGGAGGGGCCAAAATGCAGCCAGCATTCACAGCGCTCTTCCTGTGGCTCTTTGTCCTGCTCTTTCTGTTGGGGATGCTGGCCAATGGCTTCATTGTGGTGGTGCTGAGCAGAGACTGGAGGCGGCTCGGGAGGTTGCCCCCCTCTGACATGATCCTCATCAGCCTGGGGGCCTCCCGTTTCTGCCTGCAGTGGGTTGGAATAGTGCACAACTTTTACTACTTCCTCCACCTGGGGAAGTTAAACAGGGGTCCCATTCGGCAGCTCTTTAGTCTCCATTGGAACTTCCTGAATTCTGCCACCTTCTGGTTCGGTGCCTGGCTCAGTGTCCTCTTCTGCCTGAAGATCGCTAACCTCACCTGCCCCGCCTTCCTCTGGCTGAAGTGGAGGTTCCCAGGGTCAGTGCCCTGGCTTCTGCTGGGCTCCCTCCTTGTCTCCTGCATCGTCACCCTGCTCTCCTATTGGGGAAACCTCGCTGTGTATCAAGGTTTATTTATTAGGAAACTTTTTGGGAATATGACTTATGAGGAGTGGAACAGGAGGATGGAAATTTTCTATTTCCTGCCCATGAAATTTGTCACACTGTCAATTCCTTGCTCTGTTTTTCTGGTCTCGACCGTGCTGTTGATTAATTCTCTGAGGAGACACACTCAGATGATGAGGCAAAATGGCCACAGCCTGCAGGACCTCAGCACCCAGGCGCACACCAGAGCTCTGAAGTCACTCATCTCCTTCCTCGTTCTTTACGCTGTGTCTTTTGTGACTGTGGTCATCAGTGGTGCAGGCTTCTTTACCACAGAGAGCAACTGGTACTGGCCCTGGCAAATTTTAATCTACCTGTGCACATCTGTCCATCCCCTTATCCTCATCCTCAGCAACTTCAGGCTTCGAGGGGTGTTCTGGCAGCTACTTCTGTTGGCCAGGGGCTTCTGGGTGGCCTAGGTGGCATGGTCTCCTTATCCTGACCCCCTGAAGAGACTCAGATGAGGAGGACGGAACCACGGCCCATTCACACAGAAATAACTACGTAGGTGGTGTCTGCTGGATCATGCTGTGGGGATCCTCCTTTGAAGAGGAGAAGAGGAGAGTAAAATCTGGGAACTCTCTGAGCATGATACCTTCCTTGGGACACTGTTAAAATTGGGCCCCGTGGGTCTCGGAAAGTGAGTGTTGTCTGGAAGATCAGAATACAAAATTTTGTGCTATTCTCTGTTTGTATCCTCTCTGTTGTGTGGAGGCCTTCAGTTAAAAAGTCTTGATTACGTATACTCTCTTAACCTTGACAACCTGGTGGGGAATTCAGAGGAAATGTGTCTACAACTGTGTCAGGGTGTGGGTGGGGAGGCAGCAGTCCTCACGGGGGTACTGGAGAGTTTGCTGCTAGGGGCGGACAACGGCCAGGGCCGCGCGGCCTAGAAGCCCTTCCTCCTGAGGAGGGCCTTTTCCTCTCACTGAACTTGGATACTCTGGTTTGAATTTTATTAAAACTGCTGAAGGGTTTCCTTACATGATCCCATCTCTTTTCTTATGAATATTGCCATTGTTCTGCCTTTAATGTTCTCCTCTCTGAAGTCTGAGTGGCAGTCAGACTTTTTCCATGTTTACTCTTCCTTTAGAACCACACATTGTGATTTTCTCCTTTGACAAATTGTCTTTGGAACTTTTTTCCCCTCAAGCAAATGTCACAAAGTCACATGTGAATTGAATAAACATGTACTTTTTGTTCTGAAAAACAGACTTAAGAATTTCACTTAGTGTCCAAAAATTATTTAACCTCTTTAAAAAAAAAGATAAAATAAAAGAACCACCCTATTAAATATCATGTTTAAATGTCTTAAAATAGTTTGTGTCAAGTTACTGTGCAAATGTTTTTAGGAATAATTTTGTGGAAAACTTTGATTAGAGTTGCATGCTTCTAAGGCAGGCTTGAAAGTTTTTACTAAAAGGCATCAATATGCAAATTTCAGAGACCAACTTGCAACTGGATTCCTGATAAGGATAAATTTTAATCTCCTCTGAGAGGGAAAATAATTTCCCTACCAGTTAGGGTGAATTAGGGTGAATGTTGCTGAGTGAATACACACTCATGAACTATAATTTTGGGGCAAATTATTCTACATTTTTATTGTAAACATTTATTTTTTAATAGATGATATGGTGATACATTCACATGGTTCAAAATTCAAAATGTACTTTGAAAATTTTTTAAATTACAGTTGACATTCAATATTATGTTGGTTTCAGATGTACTCTTACCAGTTTTTTGTCTGTCCTTCTAGAGGTATTTTATTTTATAGCAGAAAACCACTAAAACCTAGCTAACAAACCCGTCAACTAACTTAACACACATCTAGTAGCTAACTGACCAACTAACTTATTAACTACATTCTCCATGTGTCTTTTTATATGAATGGTTGAACAACATGCATGCTGTCTTGCAGGTCAGAGGTTGCCATGTAGCAGGCATGAGGCATAGTAGCCGGTAGTAGGAGCTTGATATGAACAATCTTTTCCCCAACCCCAAGCAAGAAGAGCTGGGCTCCCGCATTAGGCAACGGAGTTGGTCTCCTTCTCTGGGAGGAAGTGCACCAGCATCTGGGGGCCCCACTGGAAGCGGAGCACATGCCTGGCACCAAGAAGCTGCAGAGGAAGAAGCCCACGGGCAGGTGCAGTCAGGCGTGCAGCCTGATCAGCCGGTGAACAGCCTCACCCGGCAGGGTCAGTAGACAGGCAGCCCCGAGCGGGACAAAGACTCCAGCCTTAGTCTGCCTGTCAGTGAAGAATCGCAATGCGACAAACTCACCCCCTGCCCCTCCGCATCAGGTTGTCCCTCCTCTAGAGCAGGTGGGCAGGGCTGCTTCAGGAGGGGGTGCTGGAGAGGCCAGAGTAGGAATCAGAGTTTGCTGACTGTACTGAACAAAGGGCCTTCAGGAGGACTGTGAGGACTTGTGTGCTTTCTCCATTATTTCTCAAAGTCAGGGATGTTTAATGGTTTTTCTTTTTATACAAAGATGCCTAACAGATGTTTCACATTAGAACATTTTTTTTGGGGGGGGGCGTGAATAAAAAGAGTTTAAAGATCTTGAGGATTGTGCTCTGATCCCAAGATGTCGGACTGGACTTCCCCTTTCTCCTTATTGCTCAGCTGGGTTGGTGCTTTTTCCCGATTCTCCCATGAGGCAGGCTGGGTCGGTGACAGAGAAAAGCGCTCACTTGGTTCCCAGCCTACTGATGAAGCAAGCTTCGTCCTAGGTCGATAAGATCAAGGCCTCCTTGGAGAACATCATACCAGCTATAATTATGTCCCAGCTTCGTGTGATTATGTTATTTCCTTGGTGAAATGCTGGCACTTATTTGAATATTAAAGTAAGTGATTAATAAAAGATGAATGTGCACATCACTTACTTGCAGTACCGACATTTGGAAACTGCCTTCGCCCATAGATGAAGTCAGTGAGGGAGTGCCTCTGAGCTCCTTTGAGCTTTGTTATGCACCAATCCCATCACAGCAAAGATGCTTTTGTCCTTGGGACATCTCCCCATTCACTGAGCTGGTCTTGAGCCTCTGTCAAAGGATAAAGATGCCTTTGTTTGTTTGTTTGTTTTGTTTATCTGCATGTACTAAGCAATTTTATAGTTTTTATTTCTCTGTCTACTAGTGACAAGTCCTTCTGGCCCCAATTTCAATATTTGCATCATGTGCCTTTGCAACATGTGGGAGAAGGAAACATTGTGGTCTAGGAGGAGAATGAGAGACTGCAGGGACAAGGACAAGAGTCCATCTGCTGGGAAAGCCCATTTGAACGCCCATTAGGGGAAGCTTGAGTGCAGAGGAAAAAACTCCAGATAATAGAGCTTTTCCTATGAAAATTCCACAGGATCCGTGGCGGGTCGCAGAGCAGTACCTTCCACATTGGCTGCACATTAAATCACCTGGAACACTTTGAAAAAACTCCAGAAGCCCAAGCCACACTCCCAAGTAATTAGAATCTGGGATGGGTGGAACCCAGGCATTAGTATGACAGTAACTTTCATGTTTCCCTGGCAATTCAATGTGAAGCTAGGTTTGAGAATGATTGCTTTAGAGGGAAGCTTGGACCTTACTTTTGAAGATTCAATAGGTGGTTTTTGAGAGAATTGTTTTGAGACAAACATAGGAGAGTTTTTGAGGAGGAAAGATCTTTTGAGGTAAACTTCTTAATCTTTGTTTGAAAAAGTTAAAGCCAAGGGAGTTTAAATGATTTCCCTCAAGTGTCCCCACGAAGCAGTGAAAATGTAATCCTGAGTGTCTTGCCATCCGTGTGCTTGGTCTCCACTGGTCTTAGCTTCTCTCTGAGGTCTGGTCCCAGAGTGACCTTTTAGAATGTCTTAGACCTGGGGAAGAACTAGTGAGTGTCACATGAGGTGATGTGCAAGAAAGGCCTTCATAAGTTTTAGAGCATTCTCTAAATGAGGAGGATTTGTACTGCTACAGAATCCAATGAAATAGAAGGGAAAACAATTCAACCCGAGCCTTTCTAACAGGGTTTGAAGACAGAACTTGTGGCTGGATGGGGATGCAGAGGGCAGGGCCACTGGATACTATCCTCTGTCTTGCCTGGGCAGTTGGAACCTACCTTATCCGGCTTCCAGGCTTCCATGGCCAGAAGGTGTCACTACAGAAAATGCTAAGAATAGAAAGTGGCTTTGGTGCAATACTCAGCAGCTGAGTTTCTGAGCCCTGCACCTCGGGTGGGAGCTCCTGGCTTTCCAAAAAGCCTTTTTTTTGGTCAGCACAGAAAATAACCTAGATTTAGTCACCAAATGTGGCTCCTGAGTCCTGAGAACAGCAACTGAAATTCTCACCATTGAAGAAAATAAAATGCAAAGTGAGAGTCACAAAAGGATGAAAGCTGGAAGGAACTTGTAGGATTATTTCAACCTCATCACTTTACAAGTGAGAAAACGGAGGCTCAGAGAGTAGATGAGATTTGCCTGAGGTCATTCTGCCCATTGGGAGTAGAGCCAGACCTGGATTGGAGCCCTGCTCCATAGCCCTGTTATCCCGTGGAGCACAGGAGGGCGTGGCCCTGGCAGTGGGCAGCAGCAGCATCCCATGGCATGACCCGCAGGGCAGGTGTGATTTGTGGGGGAGGGCAGGTCAGGTAAGGTGTGGTGTTTGGGGAGTCGCTGGAGGGGAGGAGGTGGAGGTGGAGACTTTGAACTGCCACAAAGTAACACAAGGAAACAGGCTGGAGAGTAGTTTGGACAGGTCAGTGGCCTGGAGGTCCTGCTCACCAAGCCAGCCGATCTCTTTCCATTCCAGGGAAACACCCACTTCATAGTTGTGTGAGAGCAAGAAGCCGACACACCAACCCTCAGATTTCTCAACAGCCAGGAAATGGAGCTGGAAAAACCCTCCACGGAGCCCAGCTTTCGCTTCCTCTTTCTGACTCCTAACTACTGCCTGAAGGCTGGAGAGGGTGTTTGCTCTTTTTAGTGCATCCCTCTCCCATCTCTAACAGAGCCTGGCACCTCGAGCTAGTGGACTGACTCAATGAATGGGCATCATATAGAGGAGTGGTTCCTCTGAAATTTTTTCTCTCGCCTAGAAGCTCAGTGTAGAACTTTCCAGAGTCCACTCTGTGAGAGCACCTCGGAATGACCCCACTCAGAAGGGTCTCCTGAGGGACCAATCAGTTGTTTCCTCCTGGTTAGTAAGTGTCCTTTAAATACGTTGGATCTCTCTTTAAAGAGACTAAGACAAAAAACAAAACAAAAAAACTGCACTCTAAAACTCAAACAGTAGGGTAAGTAGGAAAATATTTTAGACTTCTCTCCTCTTTTTCTAACTTATAACTTAATGAATTGATGTCCTCTTTGGATAAACTAGATGTATGCACTTTTGCTGTGGAGACTAGAATTTAAGTATTATTTTATATACAAAAGATATGTTTTAATTAT